GAAAAAAAGGCACAGCACACCAACATCAAAACCTCATCCCCACTGTGAAAAACATGGCGGAGGGGAAAATCATGGTTTGGGGCTGCTTTGCTGCCTCAGGGCCTGGACGGATTGTTGTCATTGATGGGAAAATGAATTCCAGAGTTTATCAAGACATTTTGCAGGGGAAAAAGTACGACCATCTGTCCGCCAACTGAAGCTCCGCAGAGGATGGGTGATGCAACAGGACAATGACCCAAAGCATACAAGTCATAGAAAAAAAACAATGGCTGCAACAGCACAGAATACGCCTTCTGGAGTGGCCCAGTCTGAGTCCTGACCTCAACCCCATTGAAATGCTGTGGCATGACCTTAAGAGAGCAATTCACACCAGACATCCCAAGAATATTGCTACACTGAAACAGTTTTGTGAAGAGGAGTGGTCCAAAATTACTCCAGATCGTTGTGCAGGTCTGATCTGCAACTACAGGAAACGTTTGGTTGAGGTTATTGCTGCCAAAGGAGGGTCAACCAGTTATTAAGTCCAAAGGTTCAATACTTTTTCCTCCCTGCACTGTGAATGTTTACATGTCATGTGGAATTAAACCATGGCAACATCTAATGTTTGTGTGTGTATTATGTTCAGCAGACTGTGTTCTTCTATTGTTGTGACTTAGATGACGTTCAGAGCACATTTTATGCCCAATTCATGCAAAACTCCACGTAATCCCAAGGGGGGTCACATACTTTTTCTTGCAACTGTAATAATAGATAGTAGATAGATAGATAGATAGATAGATAGATAGATAGATAGATAGATAATAGATAGATAGATAGATAGATAGATTAGATAGATAGATAGATAATAGATAGATAGATAGATAGATAGATAGATAGATAGATAGATAGATAGATAGATAGATAGATAGATATAGATAGATAGATAGATAGATAATAGATAGATAGAATAATAGATAAGATAGATAAGATAGATAGATAGATAGATAATAGATAATATAGATAGATAGATAATAGATAGATAGATAGATAGATAATAGATAGATAATAGATAGATAGATTAGATATAGATAATAGATAGATAATAGATACTAGATAGATAGATAGATAATAGATAGAAATAGATAGATAGATAATAGATAGATAATAATAGATAAAAGATAGATAGATAGATAATAATAGATATGATAAAAAAAAAATAATAGATAAAGAATATATAATAATAATAATAGATAATAGATAGAATAGATAAATAGATAATAGATAGATAGATAATAAAATAGATAATAATAGATAGATATAGATAAATAAAATAGATATATAGATAGATAGATAGATAGATAATAGATAGATAGAAGATAGATAGATAGATAGATAGATAATAGATAATAGATAATAAGATAATAGAATAGATAATAGATAGATAGATAATAGATAATAGATAGATAGATAGAGAAGATACAAAGTAACATTGTTTATAAAAAATCCATCAGACGGGAGATAGAGAAATAAAGTAACATTGTTTATAAACATCGATCAGGGGGGAGAAGAGATACAAAGTAACATTGTTTATAAACATTGAACCCGAGACCATAAAAAAAAAGGTGTATGCAGTATTCTTCATAATGCACAGCAAAAATGAGAGGCTCCGTACGAAATAAACAAGTCCTGTACACGAGATTTCCTGCAGACAGAAGACGGACCGGAAATTCCTGAGTCATATAAACTTTAACACAACTTCTCGTTGCACAGAAAAAAATAGTTGTATCTTCTGGGAAAATCCACATTTGCAAAGCACACACGTGATGGGGAGCGATCCAAAATATGCGATGTGTGTGATGAACAGACATGTGAAGATCATTCATACAACTGAGGACACGTAGCAATCCCAGTTCCCCAGAATGATCTTCTCTGGTGTCAGCTGTTTCCTAAGTCACACTTCTTTTTACATGACAGATAAATAGAAACTTCTGACGTGGAACTTTAGTAAAAAAAAAAAATTATGTCCTGCATGATGACGTCAGGCTGGCCCCTTTTTGCAGGTATAGCTATAGAGAACATTAAAAATAATGCCTGTGCTGTTTAAAATCCGGTAATATGTGCAGAGCAGGGTGGTACAGTATGCTCAGGTGCACTGTGGCAAAGATGTAGAGGCCAATCTGCTGACAGCCTAAAGAAAGCCGTCATTAAAATGGAGACCACGGTCCAAACAAGACCGATCGATGCTCCTGTCCGGACTGTTGGTCCACCAAACTAAAGTGCCCAATCAGCAATCATTGGTTGCTGGGAAAAAAAAAATCTCAGCAACCAAAAAATCACGTGTGCACCTCGCCCTGCAGCGTCAGTTGGTAACCCCACCCACTTCAAAAAGGTTCTTCCTCCCCCGCAGATTGCTACCTCTGCCGGATCCCACTCACTGCCGGATCCCACTCACTGCCGGATCCCACTCACTGCCGGATCCCACTCACTGCCGGATCACACTCACTGCCGGATCACACTCACTGCCGGATCACACTCACTGCCGGATCCAACTACTGCCGGATCCCACTCACTGCCGGATCCCACTCACTGCCAGATCCCACTCACTGCCGGATCCCACTCACTGCCGGATCCCACTCACTGCTGCCCTCAAGGTAAGGAGTGTTTGTATGTGAAAAAAAAAAGAATTTCAAGAGCACACTGATGGGCATGTTAAGGGGTACTCTGATTGGCACATATGTCACGGGGGCACTCTAATGGGCACATATTGTGGAAAGGGGCATTCTGATGGGGAAATATATGAAAAAGGGGCACTTTAATGGGGACACTGATGATGTAAGGATGCACTCTAATGGGGACACTCTATAAGAAAAGGGGGTCACTGTGATGGGGAAACCTTGATGGGGACACTGATGGGAACAAGTGATGTAAAGGAGCCTTCTGCTGCAGCAATCTGATGTAAAGGGGAACTCTGATAGGCACACCTGGTGTGATGGGGACACCTGATGTAAAAGGGGTACTCTGATGGAGACATAAAATGACAAAAAAAAAAAAAGGGGCATTCTGATGGGCACACCTGGTGTGATGGGGACACCTGATGTAAAGGGGTACTTGATGGAGACATCTGATATAAAGGGGCATTCTGATGGGCACACCTGGTGTGATGGGGACACCTGATGTAAAAGGGGGGTACTCTGATGGAAAAAACTGATGTAAAGGGGCACTTAAAATGGGGACACTGATGTAAGGATGCACTCTAGTGGGGAAAACCCTATGTAAGGGGTCACTGTGATGGGGAAACCTTGATGGGGACATTGTGATGGGGACAACTGATGTAGGGGAGCCTTCTGCTGCATATAAAAAAATGATGTACAGGGGCACTCTGATTGGGACACCTGATGTAAGAAAAAAAAATGGGGACACCGGAATGTAAGGGGGGTACACTGATGGGAGTCACCGGATGTAAGGGGGCACTCTGATAAGAGAGAACCAGATGTAAGGGGGCACACCGATGGGAGACACCGGATGTAAGGGGGCACACCGATGGGAGACACCGGATGTAAGGGGGCACACCGATGGGAGGCACCAGATGTAAGGGGGCACACTGATGGGAGGCACCAGTCGTAAGGGGACACTCTGATGGGAGACACCAGATGTAAGGGGGAACACCGATTGGAGACACCAGATGTAAGGGGGTACACTGATGGGAGGCACCAGATGTAAGGGGGCAAACTGATGGGAGACACCAGATGTAAGGGGGCAAACTGATGGGAGACACTGGATGTAAGGGGGTACACTGATGGGAGACACCGGACGTAAAGGGGGAAACACCGATGGGAGAAACCAATATGTAAGGGGCACACTGATGCAGAAACCTGATGATAGCTGTTCGTTTTTGCTCTTTACAACGACAAGGAACATGTAAAGCCATCCTCGCTCCGCCTGTCCAAATGTTTAATGTCGTAACTGAAACGTGACAATAAATATTGCAGGAATGCCATGAAATGTTCTGTTAGGGGACACAAAACTCTCAGGTTAGACTATGGAGGAGCGGCCGCCTTCCACCCCAAAATACGTTCAGCTACCGAAGCAGCAGAGAGAACACCTGCAGGCAGCAGTCACAGGCGCTGTGACACAAGATCTGGGGCGCGCGCAGTTCGAGGTGTAAACGCTTTCATACAACACGTTTTATTTTAAGACAACCCTGAGACTGACACAGACCTGACACCGATCGTATCTCAGAGGATGAATGCTGCTTCTTCGGTGCTGCGCCATTTCTGGGACAAACTGTGGAAAGGAGGAGAAACCAATAGCAGCAGAGAGATCTCACCACCGGACTCTGCAAGCCGGACCACATCAGTAAAAACGAAAACCCACATCAGTACAATCAGTCTGTAGATGCAGTAAAGCACGCTGGTTATACTCACTGAGGAACCTAAGGGGTTAATCCTCTGCATTGTGTGTAAAAAGGCTGTTTGATCTGTCTTCTCTGATCCTCCCCTTCTTCTACTGTCCACAATCCATCTGCTGATAGTACAGAGCTCTAGGAGTCACTCTGCACATGCTCAGTTTAAAATGTATGGCTATAAGAGGTTATTTTTTTGGGGTGGGTACATGTGATCAGCACAGGGCCAATCAGCAGTCTGGACAGAGGGTCAGGGGTTATGCCGCCCCATAGGACAATCGGGGGAGAATGAAAACTCCTCCTACAAGCTTTAACCCAGTGCTCTGGTGGACACTGATAGAAGTCACAAGACTGCTATATACTGCTGATGAGAAAAGGTACTTAGCAGAATATATTTACTAAAATAATTGCATTTCCATGTTGTGTGTACTGTGGGAGAGCGGATATAGTGAATGCGGGGTCCGGGGAGAGCGGATATAGTGAATACGGGGTCCGGGGAGAGCAGATATAGTGAATGCAGGGTCCGGGGAGAGCGGATATAGTGAATGCAGGGTAAAGGGAGAGCGGATATGGTGAATGCAGGGTCAGGGGAGAGCGGATATAGTGAATGCGGGGTCCGGGGAGACCAGATATAGTGAATGCAGGGTCCGGGGAGACCAGATATAGTGAATGCAGGGTCCGGGGAGAGCGGATATAGTGCATGCGGGGTCCGAGGAGACCAGATATAGTGAATGATGCGGGGTCCGGGGAGAGCAGATATAGTGAATGCGGGGTCCGGGGAGAGAAGATATAGTGAATGCGGGGTCCGGGGAGACCAGATATAGTGAATGCGGGGTCCGGGGAGACCAGATATAGTGAATGCGGGGTCCGGGGAGACCAGATATAGTGAATGCGGGGTCCGGGGAGACCAGATATAGTGAATGCGCGGTCCGGGGTTTAGTAACACTTTAAGTATACTACTTCTGTATCCATATAAGGCACTAGAAGATACCGATCCAAGTAAGTGAAGAGTGATCTACATCACCGCCCGCCCGCTCTGCCCCTCCAACTTTAAAATCCTGAAATCCCGGCTGATCCTCGGCCAAAGTCGACACTTCAGGACGGCTCTGTACAAACCCCGAGAGGGTGAAATATCAAAGATTTCTGTAACCGCCGTCACCTCTGATGTAGGTCAGATGAGGAGGATGAATGTAGAGGGGGGGGAGGGGGGGTCATAATAACCCACTTCCTGCAGACGGTTGCAAAGCTGGCAGCGGTAATAAAAATGCGCAGGAAACATCGACCGCGTTCAATTTGTGCGAAAAATGCAAATACGACCGAAGAGAATGGAAAGGAAAACAGAGAAAACTTCGAAACTACAATTCATCCACTTTAATGGACCAAAATGGAGAATGGATGCAATAAGCCCGCGTCACACTGATGCGGAATTCCCACCCGTTTCTGTGCGATTTCCACACCGCATCAGAATCGCACCCCATTCATGCGAACCGCTGTGGCTGTGTATGTTAAATTAACAACACCCTGAAATCGGTTCGAAAAACATGGTGCGATGCGCAGAATCGGATCGCATGAATGTGAATACCCGTGCGATCCGACAAAAAAAAATAAAAAAAAAAACTGAATAGAATAGAAAGTAAAAATAATAGAATAGAAAAAATAGAAAAAAATAAATATAGCCATCTTAGAAAAAAAAAAAAAAAAAAAAAAATTAAAAAAAGTAAAATAAAAAAAAAAAAAAAAAAAAAAAATAATAGAATAAAACTGAATAGAATAGAAAGTAAAATAATAGAATAGAAAAAAATGAATAAAAAAAATATAGCCATCTTCTCAAATTTTAATTTCAAAAAGAGTAAATAAAATAGAAAAAAAATAATAGAATAAAACTGAATAAAAATAGAAAGTAAAATAATAGAAAAAAAAAAATGAATAAAATTCTTCTCAAATTTTAATTTTGAGATGAATAGAATAAAAAAATAGAAAAGAAAAAAAAAAAAAAAATAAAAAAATAAAATAGAATAAGAAAAATAGAATAAAATAAATATAGCCATCTTCCCAAATTTGAATTTTGAAAATACAATAAACAAAAAAAATAAAAAGTAAAATAATAGAATAAAAAAACTGAATAGAACAAAAAAAAAAATAATAGAAAAAGAAAATATGAATAAAATAAAATAAATAGCCATCTTCTCAAATTCAAATTTTGAAAAGAAAGAATAGAAAAAAAGAATAGAACAAAAAGAAAAAAAAAAAAATAATAGAATAGAATAAGAAAAATAGAAAAAAAAAAATATAGACATCTTCCCAAATTCGAATTTCGAAACCAACAGAATGAAATAGAAAAAAAATAATAGAATAACACTGAATAAAATAGAAAGTAAAATAAAAATAAAATAAAAAAAAATAGAATGAAATAAAAATAGCCATCTTCCCAAATTCAAAAAAAAGAGTACAATAAAAAGAATAGAAATAATAGAATAAAAAAATAGAATAGAAAAAAAAAAAAAGAAAAAAAAAAAATGAATAAAAAAAATATAGCCATCTTCTCAAATTTGAATTTTGAAAAAAAAAACAGAAAAAAAAAGAATAGAAAAAAAAAAAAAATAAAAAAAAAAAATAAGAAAATAGAAAAAGAAAAAATAGAATAAAATAAATACAGCCATCTTCCCAAATTCGAAAAAAAAAAAAAGAATACAAAAAAATAGAAAAGAAAATAATAGAAAAAAAAAAAACTGAATAAAATAGAAAGTAAAATAATAAAAAAAAATAGAATAAAAAAAAATAGAGCGATCTTCTCAAAAAAATTTTGAAAAGAAGAGAATAAAATATAATAGAAAAGAATGGAACAGAAAAGAATAAAAAATAAAATAAGAAAATAGAATACGAAAAAATAGAATAAAATAAATATAGCCATCTTCCCAAAAAAAAATTTCGAAAAAGAACACAATAAAAAAAAAAAAGAATAAAAAAAAAAAATAGAAAAAAAACTGAATAAAAAATATCTTCTCAAAAAAAAAATAGAATAAAAAAAAAAAAAAAAAAAAAAATAAATATATAAATCTTCTCAAATTTGAATTTTGCAAAAAGAAAAGAATAAAAAAAAAAAAAGTAAAAAAAGAAAAAAAAGAATAAAAAAATAAAATCCCAAATAAAATTGAAAAAAATAAAATAAAAAAAAAAATGGAATAGAAGAATAAAATAAATATAGAAGCCATCTTTTCAAATTCGAAATTTTGAAAAGAATGTAGAAAATAAAATAGAGTAGAAAATAATAGAATAAAAAAACTGAATAAATAGAAAGTAAAATAATAGAAAAAAATAGAATAAAATAAATATAGATCTTCTCAAATTTGAAAAAAAAAAAAGAATAGAATAAAATAGAATAGAAAAGAATGGAATGAAAAAAAAAAAAAAAATAAAAAAAAAAGAAGAAAAGAAAAATTGAATAAAATAAATATAGCCATCTTCTCAAAATGGAATTTTTTGAAAAAGATTGGAATAAAATAGAATAGAAAATAAAAAAACAGAAAAGAAAAGAATAGAATAAAAAAAAAAATAAAAAAAGAGTAAGAAAAATAGAATAAAATCTATATAGCCATCTTCTCAAATTCAAATTTTGAAAATAAAAATAGAAAAAAAGTAGAATAGAAAAGAATAAAATAAAAAAAGAATAGAAATGAATAAAAAAATAAGAAAAAATAAAATAGTAAAATAGAAATAGAAAATAAATAGAATAAAAAAAAAAATATAGCCGAGTAAGAAAAATAGAATCCCAAATTCAAATAAAATAGAAGCAGCTATTCCTCAAAATGAATTTGTATCTATTGGATAATTTTGATTCGATTTGAATACTTCGAATCCATTGGAATAAAAAATTTGAATCCGGTCAAAAATAAATAAACTAAACGAATTTTGATTTTACGAAATGCAACGAAATGAAATCAGTAAATCAGTAAATAAACGAGTCGATCCGAAACTATCCAAGTGTTCTCTTTCTGCACATGTCCAGTCACCAGGGACCCAGCCTGGGTAGCACAGACGTCTGAGATGCAGGATTGACCTGGCAAATCTGGGACAGTTGTCGCCTATGCAGCAGGGAGGAGTGAGACTCCACAGAAAAGTGGGTTGGCAGGGGGGTGAGAAATCGTCTTGTTGGAGGAACGTGCAGATTACACCAATCCCCGGCATACACAAGAGACGAGGGCTCGGCATTCCACATCTAACTGCACAATGCATTTTATTGGCTGATTGTTGCGTTAAAAAAAAAAAAAAAAACTCCTCGCCACGTGCTTCTCCGTCTCAATCATCGGCACTAAAATAGAAGGAAAACATATTTCTGGCCACACACTTTGACAAGAAAAATATAAATAATCAGAGGAGGGCCAAGACACCCAGCTGTCACTGACAACTATGTGCAGTTCTTGGCCGTGTTCACAAATGTCTGACGCAGATCAGCCCCTGCTGCATTTTCTCTGCTGCAAAGTCACAATGCTGCAGTCTGATGACTGGGGGGAGGGGGGAGACTGAGGAAATTCTTCCTCCTGCAGCAGACTGATGACATCATCTAGTTAAAGTCACTGGAATGGGGCTTGAGGACGGCTTTTGATAATAAAGGATGGAGCTTTTCTGAACAATGATGCCGGAGCTGTACACTGCGACACGTCAGGCAGATGTGTAAAGTAACTGACAGGTCCACTTTTATTCGGGGCTCATTCACACCAGCCCCAAAGGGCGGCATTGCCTAACTCAGTTCCAACGCCTGGACGGTGCACTCCCCCCCCAATGCTATTACTACTCGCCATATGCAAGCAGGCAAGTGGAAATTTTGAGGCCTGTCCTATTGCTTCGGGTCTCACAGACACACTGGGGGAGATTTAGTAAAACTGGAGCTCTCAGAATCCGGTGCAGCTGTGCATGGCGGCCAATCAGCTTCTAGCTTCAGCTTGTTCAATTAGGCTTTGACAATAAAACCTGGAAGCTGATTGGTTTCTGTGCAGAGCTGAACCTGATTTTGCACCATGCAGCTTTAGTGAATAACCCCCATGGTGTTGGTGTGCGCATTTTTGTTATGAATCTGAAACGGATCGCAATATGCTGACACAGATAGAATTAAAGGGTAACTCCACTTCTGCTGAGAATAAAAACCCCTCCCCTCTGGGTGATCTATGTACATTGTAGGGATTTTATCAAACGTTGTTGCAGATTCCGCTGCTGAAGAAATAGCTTTGTTTCTCTGTGTCCATGTGCAGAGTGAATGAGCACGGGACTGACTTTATAACTATCAGCTGCTGCGTTTGCAGGGTTCCATTGGGGAAAGTGGCAGGGTCTGCATCCCTCTTTGGGAGTATCTCATCAAAAATGATACTTTTGTTGCAGGGGAAGGTCCTTAACCCATCAGCAGGACCGGTATCTGCTCCTTTGTGCAAGGAGAAACAGGAGGAGCCCTGCCAGAGCCCTACAAAATGACCTCCAGCAGGCCACTGGTGTGAATGTCTCTGACCAAACAATCAGAAGACTTCATAAGGGTGGCCTGAGGGCCCGACATCCTCTAGTGGGCCCTGTGCTCACTGCCCGGCACCATAGAGCTGGATTGGCATTTGCCATTGAACCCCAGAATTGGCAGGTCCACCACTGGCACCCTGTGCTTTTCACAGATGAGAGCAGGTTCACCCAGAGCACATGTGACAGACGTGAAAGGGTCTGGAGAAGCCGTGGAGAACGTTCTGCTGCCTGTAACATGGTTCAGCATGACCGTTGTGGTGGTGGGTCAGTGATGGTCTGGAGAGGCATCTCCATGGAGGGACACACAGACCTCTACAGGCTAGACAATGGCACCCTGACAGCTATTAGGTATGGGGATGAAATCCTTGGACCCATTGTCAGACCCTGCGCTGGTGCAGTGGGTCCTGGGTTCTTCCTGGTTCAGTGGGTCCTGTGTTCCTCCTGGTGCAGGGGGTCCTGGGTTCTTCCTGGTACGGTGGGTCCTGTGTTCCTCCTGGTGCACTGGGTCCTGGG